GATATTATTATTGTAGAACATGCCTAAGCCAAACTGTAGAATTTAGAAGCATTGAAGTAAGTGTAAGAGTTTTCTCCTATAGGTTAGGGAAAAGCATTTAAAACTCCTGTCTCTTTTTGCCCACCCATTTTGGCAGTGAATTAAATGCATTCAGGCATCAAATAAATAACATTTTTAAAGTGATTTATTTAACTTTTTCATTTTGGAAGTAGGATAAAATGTAAAACACACTGTACATGAAATTAATGAAGCTTTGTATTTAAACTTTATCTAAAAGTCAACCACCAGGATGCCTGGCCTAGTTTTTAGAGATTAATCTGAAAGAAGTGTGGCTATTCAGTAGAAGACACAATCTAGCAATTAGAAGAAATTATCATTTTGGTAACTTTTAAGTGCCCAAGTCTCCCTAAGCTTCTAAAGAGCTGGCTCAACATATTAGTGCTATGTTTTTACTCTAAGAGTCGACCTCTTGAAATTAAGTGTCAGTATTATAGAATCTCCACAAAGAAAGGACTCAATTCTTATACCCGGGGTAGAAATAGTAGCTGATGCAAGTATTACAAATAAAACTAGGCCTCCCCGGTGGCGCAGCGGGTTGAGTGCAGCGCTGTGAAGTTGTCCGCAGCCTCTGCATCGCAGATTCGATTCCCAGCCAGCCAGGGGGAATCCCACATGGCAAGGCAGACCTCTCCTGTCCCACCCTCTGCTCCCCTCAGCAGTGCTTTCAGTCTCTTTGCCTGTTCGGCTCCCTGCTCTGTCTCTGGTGAATCCTCTCACCCTCCCACAACTCTGGCCTATACCCCAGCTCTTGTACTAATAAAAAAAAAAAAAAAACTAGTATTACAAATAGAACTGAATTCATGGCTGTTATTCATGGTTATTTTTTTTTATTTCAAAATTTTTATCTTTGGGGAAAATATTTTGATGTCATAAATGCTTGTGTTTGGAAGAAGTCAGATTGACTTTTTTGTTATTACATAAACAAGATATTAAAAATGACAGTCTTGGGCCTCCCCTGGTGGCTCAGCGGTTGAGTGTTGGGCTTCGAAGCTGCCCGTAGCCTCTGCAGCATCGGTTTGATCCCCGGCCGCCAGGGTCCCACATGGCACGCAGACCTCTCCTGCCGCATCTGCTGCTCCCCTCAGCAGTGTATTTCATCTGTCTGCCTGTTCTGTTCCCCACTCTGGCTGTGGTGAATCCTCTCACCCTACACGCTTCTGACTGTACCCAGTGCTTGTATAAATAAATAAATCTTTTAAAAAAATGACAATCTTGTTGGCCTATTTAGGAAATATCTATAAACATTTCCTCAGACAAAATGCAGAATTTAGAATTTTCTCTAGGAGTTGATTTAGAGAATGCACTGAAATCTCCTTAAACTGGATCTATTATTTTTTTTCACTGTCTTTAATAAAAAAAGCAAGATATCCTATACAGCAGTTCAACTTTCATGAGCAACATGTTCCCAGTAAGGGTGATCACTTTCGAAGTGCTGGATTATATGATGTTAAAAATATAATCCCATATTGAATCCCAATGCTGAACAACATGTCTCCAAGGAACTTCTCTAATTGAGGAAAAATTATTCACATATAAAATACTCTCACCTGCCCGCACATCTGCCTGTACCCCAGTTCTTGTATAAATAAATAAATCTTTAAAAAAATTATTCACATATAATCATTAGCTTTTCATGAACTTGTTAAAAACTCTCTTTAAATTTCTCATTGTCAGATTCCTTCTATGAGAAATGAGAAGTTAGACCAATAGATTATTAAGGTTTGCTTCAGCTCTAAATTCAGTATAATTTTGCAACAATATTTGTAGAATTACTAAAAGACAAAATGTTCATGTACAGGCTAAGACTATGAAGAATTGTGTTGCTCTGAGTCTTGCTGAATAGTAAAAGATATGGTTTGGCAAGTAAGAAAGGCTGTGATGCCTTTGCTGTTACAGCTAGGGTAGCCTTCTAAGTAGTGTCTGTTATCAATTAAATACATTTTACCTGTTGCTTCTCTGAGCATATACTTCAAACCAAGTGAGTCAGGTGCCTCTCTACTGTCTACTCACTGAGTTTTGACTTTATGGAATGGTCACTACCTGGATTCTGCCCGGGAACCGTACAGATTGAATTTGTGATCCTTGTGATTCTCCATCTCTGGCACCTGCTCAAACATTGTTTGCCCTTTGCTCTTTCTAAGATGTTCCCTCTATTTTTCTGTCTCTGTTTCTCTCCCACTGAATCCTTTGCCTCTTTCAAATCTCAACATTTATTGAAACAACAACAACAACCACAACAAACTGTTTCTTTCATGATTCCAATAATAGCAAACTTTTTTATGTGTATTAGATTTGGGGTGGAGAACTCTTCTCCTTTCTCCTTTCCCTGCTCTTCTACAGAAGGTCATTGAGAAAGAAATTTCTGTCATTACCTTTAGTCTGTAGTGGAAGTGTGGAGAAGGCATTATTATCACCTTTCTACCATTTCTTATTGGAAGTAATGCTGGTACATTGAACTTGACAATTATTTATTGCACAGGTCTGTATCTCATTTCAGAACAGCTTTGCATCCCTTTCATTTAAACTTTTCCTTCTCCATGTGCTTGAGAAGCACTGAGTCCACTTGTTCCTCCTCTGGGAAGATGGACTGATTAACCTGCTAAGGTCACTGACAGTCCAGTATTCATTTGCCATGGTTCTCTAGTGGGCAGGATTGATGTGGTAAAATAAACTTTTACCTCTTTTTTAAAAAAATAAGATGTTAGTATTTAAGAAAAGTTTTAGGTTCTCAGCAAATAGAAAGAAGGTAAAGATATTTTCCATATACTCTTTTTTGTTGGATTTTTTTTAAAGATTTATCTTTATTTATACAAGCACTGAGTACAGTCAGAAGCGCAGGAGGGTGAGAGAGTTCACCAGAGCCAGAGCGGGGAGCAGAGTGGGCAGAAGGACTGAAGCACACTGCTGAGAGGAGCAGCGGGCGGCAGGAGAGGTCTGCGCGCCATGTGGGACCCTGGCCGGGGAGCAGCCAGGGATCGAACCAGCTTTGCAACCCGATGCTCAACCGCTGCGCCACCAGGGAGGCCCTCCATATACTCTTAATTCCACAAATGCATAATACCTCTGCTCCCCACCCCCATTATCAGCATCCCTCCTCCAGAGTGGCACATTTGTTGCAGTTGATGACCTACATTGATACATCATTCACCCAAAGTCTACAGTTTACATTGTGGTTCACTCTTGGTGTTGTACACTGTATGGCTTTAGAAAAACATATACTGATGTGGAAAGAAGTCCCTTTTCCACAAACTCATGTACTGGAGAGCTCAATACCTAGGAGCACTTGGGCACGAGCCTCCATTACTAACGAGATGGACACTTGGAAGCACATCTAGCAGCTTGTATCTGTTCTCTTCTCTTCTGGTTGTTAGGTCCACATAGCTTGGAGAAAATTTTGGCTATCTTAATCCCCATAAGTCTTAAAAACTTGTCAAACTCTTATGTGTGTCCTTATCTAAGGATGTAAATTTCCTGTGGGCTAGGTTTATGTTTTATTGAATCTCTTGTCTCCTGAAACTATTAGTGATTTTTTTCATTGTGGGTACTTGGTTTTTTGAACTGAAAAATAATACTTTTCACCTATGGAGTGTCAGCCACTGTTGGAAAGGCTCTGTGTAAATGAACTCATTTAAACATGTGAGAACCCTGTGAAGGGAACTACATTTATTACCATGCTTTACAGATGAGAACATATAGGCTCAAAGAAATTAAATAACTTATTTAAGATTGTTCATTTAGTAAATGCCTTAGCCATGTTTTGAAATTGGGATATTTGAGTACAGAGTACAGAACAGAGGATAGTGCCTTCAGAAACAAGTAAAGATCAGAAATAACAAAATGACACTTGAAAAGCACTCTCTATTTAGTCGTTCCAATTTTTTTTTTTTTTTTTTTGGCCTTAATAGCACTTTGGGCAAGAACCATGTAATTAGCAGCTGCAAGAGGTCTTGAGAGACCATTTAGTAGGGTTATTTTCAAGACGGTCCCCTTGGCTCTCTTCTGGGACCACACTGTGTGTGAGTGTGTGTATGTGTAGGTGGTCCACGGAAGCCCTAGAGGAGAATGGGGTGCTGCAGCCTGACCTTATTTTATTCAGTTATATCACTAGACTCCTGTGTGTGATTTCAGTTGGAAAAAAGGCTAGGCTACTAGAAGAATTGTTTAAAACCTAGGCAGGAAAATGCACCAGTTGCCTGGAGTGACTGGAAGGCTATTGGTTTACAGACTTTGTAAGTAAATATTTTAATCACTTGTCTGTTAATAAACCAGAGAACTAAAAGCACTGTGCTATGTCTATACTAGATATCTCACTGCAAACAAAAAATTAAGTTGGATCCTTTCCTAGGAGGTTAATAGACAATCTACCCAATTGTCAATAGCATAGAAATACAATAAATTCAGTGCACAGAAAGTGTTTTCAAAGAAAAGCAGTTAAGATGCCAGATATTAGCAGGGAGAATATGTTTTGTAGAGGTTACAAATCACAGTTCTACTTCATCCATACCTTAAATGTTCAAACTATAAAATCAGCTTATGTCCTTCCTAGTTCCTTCAGCTTCCATAGATCAGAACTTATATTCCCATATTTTCTTTGCTTCCCATAACCACTTCAAGGTTCTTCTTTCCTGTGCTTTACCTGCTGTTGCTTGGACCCTTTCAATGGAAATCCATAACTTTTGGTATATTATATTCACCACTTCTGTTTCTGTCATGTGGTTGAATGTAATATGGGAGTAATGACCATCTTTTATATCTTGAAGTCATAATCTCATAACAAATAAAAGTTGTCAAAATTTCAAGGTCAAATGAATAATTACCTAGATGCCTTGAGTGTATTATAAGGCAAGGTGGAGAGAAAAGAAGCACTATTTAATAGCTTGATAGATTTAATTTCAGAACAGATAGGATTTCAGAGTAAATTTTTTGTTTTGCTTTAATAGGCTGAGAAAGAAGATGAAAAGGACAGAGAATAAATTAAAGAGTAAAAACAAAATGAAAATCAGTAAGTACATATAAATATATACTATTCTCACAACTGAACCTCAGATTTCTGTAGTATTCATATAATTTGTGTTAATTGCAAATCATCATAAAACAGGTTTGACAGCTTTATTTTACTTTAGATTTCTAGATCAAATCTACTGTCACTGGGAAAAGCAAATTAAACATGGATTGTTCTCTCTGCTTTGGGACTTAAAGAAATGGCTTAACTAAGTACCTAACCAATTAATTAAAGTCAATTATTCTCAGAAGACTGGACTCAGAGATATCTGAAAAGTATGTGTTTTTTTTTTTTTTAATCTGACATTCCAATTCTATAGTAATTGCATGGCAGTTTAATTTGACACCAGTCTCTCTGTATTTGCACTAAATTCTGGCAAATATCATAAACAATGCATTCATAATTTTAGGCTCTGGGAGCCATTCTTTTTAGGCTCTGGGAAGCTCAATAGTTCATTGTTTAATAAATAAATAACAGAGCCTATTGGAAGTAGGAGTTAGGTTTGACATTAAATTCAGTAAGAACACAAGAATAATTATGGACATAATTTTTCAGTGTCCTGAAAGCAAACAGTAAACATAGGTAGAATTGGTTAAAGTAAATTAATACTTTTTAAAGTTGGCTATTCTTTTTTTAAGGAAAAAAAGCACCCTTGTATCACAAACAGGAACATCAGTGTGGGTTTTGCCTTTATGGGAATGTATAATTTGTCTGGAAATTGAATTATGACTAAAGGTAGACACGACTATTTTGCCACTTTCAAATTAGCCAGCATCAAATGACAATTAGTAATTGAGCACGAAAGGTCATACCTATTTCTATCTTACTTTGTTATGCAATAATTTCCAAGCCATCTGTTCTTTGGAATATTTATGTGGAGGAAATGAAGAACTCTGAGATTTATGCGGAAACCTTAGAATTCATCCAGAGCTCACCCATAAGCCTTCCGAGTACTTCAGGCAGACATCAGATACCCTGGGACAAAGGCAGACCAGAAACGCCCAAGGAGGAAGTGTTCTAGACAGAGATGTCCCCTGAATACCTGGCTGTGTTCTTATGTCTCATCTTTGATTGCTTTCTTCAATAGGAATTCTTAACCATCATAAATAAACTGGCAAAATCACACTATTAATGAAAATACAATTAGAATTCTAATCCTAAATAGAAAACCAAGCCAATTTGGAGACTGCACATACCCATAAAATAGTAAAACATGATGAAAGATGAAGTAAGAATTCCTGTTTTTCCCAAGGGCCAAAAAAACAGGAAAAGACAAATTCAGACAACTGAAACTTCTCTTCTGGAGCTAATTTTTGTTCATTATCTCATGTTTTATGGTCAGCAATTCAGACTGGGGGTTGACAAACATCACTTACCCAAAACCAGTCGGCTGTGTCAGCTGAAGCAGAGGTTGCTTGAGAGATTTCTGATTCGGTTATGCTTTGAATCAACATTTGGCCAGTGTTGAAATGCCAGGAGGGAGTGCAGCTGTGAGCGAGACCAGTTTTGCTGGTGCATCCGGCAGGCTTGTAAGCTGTGTTTTTATGACAGGGCCTGGGTTTAATTTTCGTAGTTTGACAAAATCTGACTGTCTCTGGCAGAGCAATCTGTCCATTTGACACATTTTGGCCCCAGCAGAATATGAAGAGCAGGTAATGCAGCAAAGGAATTGGCAGTTTTAGTACGCTTCAGTAAAAAGAGATCTTACATCAAAAAGCACAGCATTCTGGGGGAAAAGATTTGCAGACCCATTTTGTTATGCTTGGTCAGAGAGTATATTTGGTGTGCAAGGTGAGTTGTCAGCTCCCACTGCTTCACATGTTGGTGCAAAAGGGGTTTATTTGGTGTACATAAAAATGAGTGAGTCCTTTACAAACACTGTGCCCCAGAAGTAGAAATTCCCTATACATATCTTTCATTTCTTTCCTCTGCAAATACGAGAATTAAAATGACCTCAAGAAAGTATGTCACTCTTCACACAGAGATCACTATGTATGGATTTATCTTATAAAGGATTTTTCCAGAAAGCACACAAATGAAAAAAAAAATACCTATTTTAGTAAATGGTTTTTAATTTGGAAATGAATCAGAAGATTCCACATTTCGATTAGTTCTGATTCATTTTCTCTTAGTGTCTACACTCTGTTGGGTTATATGAATGAGGCTTATCACATTGACACCGTGCACCTGAGAATAAAGGCACCATTTGAACCTGTGACTCTAGACCACAGGTGTTTATGCACTTTGAACTAGTTTGACTGTAACCCCACAGAGATGACAAAGGGAATTATGTTCACTGGTAGCTTAAGATTGGATCCTGTGACAGAAACTAAAGCATGAACAGCCATTTTTTCTACCTATCGCCTACAATAAAATTTCTAATGATTTTTTGTATACAGTATCACAATGTGATTTATTCATGAATAATGTTACTTTCCTTATGATTTAATGCCTTGGCTTTTTCAAAATTCCACATGTCACAAGGGGATTGGTTTATCTGAAAGCCAAAAATGAAATTACAAAAATAGTCAGCTGATCTAATTGTAGGAGACCCAAAGGGCAAAGGAGTATGCTTTTTTGGTTAAGAATCAAGGCAGCTCCTATTGCAATAACTGTAGTAAGAAGGGCTCACTGGGCACTGACACTTTCTTGAAAGAGCCGTGAGTGCAGGATGAGAGGTGGTTGGGATTTTCTTCCACTGTCATTAATTTGTTTTAGCTTCAGCTTTTTCTGGTGTTTCCATCATAAGGAGTTGAACATATAATTTAAAGATCATTTATGGTAAAAAGTTCCAGGAATAGCTTAATCATTAGATGATTTTAAACACAATTTGTTTTTTTATTTATTTTTATTTTTTTAATATATTTCTTGCATCATTTTTCATTTTTGCATTATCTATGCATTTTCATCTTGGTAAGATTACCCATACAGTTGCACCCCCCTTATTTTGACCCCAGTTCCTCCAGTGTGTCTCTGGTTTATAGTTGCCATCTTCATTCTTTCTCCCTCCTTCTGGTTTTTGTGTTTTTATTTGCTTTCAGTCATTCCTGGGTATAATTATTTGTCCTTTGTAACCTGTATTTCTAACATATCAATTTGGAAACTTCATACAACTCACAGGTAAAGGAAGATTAAAAACTTAAGTCTGCTAAACCTAAGAGTCTTTCTAAGAATCATGGGAATAAGAGTTGAAATGAACCTTGGAAATGATGCTTGTGTGCACATGTTAAACTAGAGGCCCAGAGAGGTGAGATGAATTGCCTAAGATCAAACAGATAAATTGTGGGAGTGATCTTTTCATCCCAGCCCAGTGCTCTTAACAAGTTTCAAAGTGAGTGGCATGGGGTTAATAGAGCAAAATTGAAGTAAGTTACTTGATACTGTGAGGACAAAAAAACTTTATAGTGTCAGGTGTCATCTCTTTCAACCTATACCTTGACATTGAGCCATTTGCAAATTTGATAAATTGGTGTGTGTGTGTGTGTGCTGATATTAAAAAAGTTTCTCATGCAGGTATCTAAGAATTTGCCTTTATGGTGATATCAGTTAGTTTTTTGAAACTGTCTTACATTTATTAATAGTATGTATTTTTAGTATGGGAGACTTTGAAGGTCATTCTGTAATCACTCAGGAGTAACCAATCAGAGAAATCTAGTTCATTATAAAATTTTGTTATCTTTAATGATTATTGCTTTTTTCCTACTAGTCTCAAAAATTACCCTTTTAGCAGTCATCTTTGAAATCTGGCAAGGAATCATCAGTCCAATTGGTCTGGTCTGTGATTCTTTGGGGCCCTTTTTTTTGTGTTTATGTATTTCCAGTATTTCTTTATGTATTCCTTGAAGAACCACTTAAAGTGCCTCCTTCTTAGTCCTTTCTTGGTGATGAGAGGAAGTATATTCTCTGTTGTCTGTTCTTATGGGGACACTGTTCCTATTGAATCAGGCCCTACTCTCATCACATAATTACTTCTGTAAAGACCCCATATCTAAATACAATCACATTGGGGATTAAGCTTCAATATACGAATTTTGGGGGCACACAGATCAGTTCATAGCACAGAATAAACTACTAGAATGGAATGTTTCTGCCAGTGAAGAACTCTAACCAAAACATATGGAGTATAATATCTGTGTTTTAAAACTTGAACCAGACTTTTTCTTGGAATATAATAAAGGAAAATGTTGCTACAAAGGGAAAACTTGAAATTATTTAGAAAAACTTAGAATTGAGAGTAGAAAAACTTAAAACTTACATTTTATTGTACATTTTTATGACAAAATTTGATTTTGGTTCTATTTATACTACTAAGTGTTCCATAGTCGTAAGAAGAGAGACAAAATAGGAGTCGAGGATTTCTATTTTCTCTTTCCTAGAAAAAATAGATTTAATATTTAATATTTTTAATAAAGTTTATTGTGGTACATTTTGCACACAATAAAATCAGCGTACTCATTTAAAATCTATAGTTTAATAAGTTTGAACATTGCATATATCTGTCACATGTATTGATGCTGTAGTGATCCTCACTTATTTAGATGTTATATGTACTGACATTGTGGTGTTCCAGAATTATGGAAAGGTAGAGGCCACTGAGACAGAGCGACTTAAGTTATTAAAAAGCAGCCACCTCAGGATACAAAATCAACATGCAAAAGTCAGTAGCCTTCCTATACACAAACGATAAATCTGAACAAGAAGATATAAAAAAAAACTATCCCTTTTATTATCAAAACAAAAAAAATCAAATATTTGGGAATAAATCTAACAAAAGAGGTAAAGGACCTATACAAAGAAAATTATAAAACACTGTTAAAAGAAATAGAAGAAGACACAAAGAAATGGAAAGACATCCCCTGCTCATGGATTGGAAGAATAAACATTATTAAAATGGCCACCCTACCAAAAGCAATATACAGATTCAATGCTATTCCAATCAAAATTTCAATGTCATTCTTCAAAGAAATAGAACAATTATTGATGAAATT